AGCCAACTGATCATGGACCAACACCTCCAAAACTAGAGCCAAGCAGACTTTTCTCCTTACAGGCCAACATCTCGTCCATGTGGGAAGGAACAGGGAACTGATGGCCATGAGCTCCTCAAGGTCCACCCCCCTCGCCAGAGGCCGGGCCTGGACTCCCCCCCAGTGGCTTTCTACTTTTGGCCCCTGTTGTATTAAGTTGCCGCGATGCAATGTTTCCCACATATAGAAAAGTACAGAAGATGAAATCCACTTAATCCTCACCCCATAGGATAGAAACTACCAGGACCTCACTTGATGGACACGGAAACGGGACACGGAGTGGCATGTCCACTTCCAGCCACACCTCCAACCAGTGGCACAGCAGGAACGTGAGCCACAATTCCAGGTATAGAATTGCAGGTCCTGTGACAGCATGTTGCCCACCCTGGATGACACGCCACTCCCTCTCCAAGGGGAGCACCCCTGTACTAAACCTGAGCCGGCTTAGTGACCTGAGCTCGTGCAAGGGATTTCCTAGGACTTCCAAGGCCGTCCTAAGATGCCTCGCAGCTGCTGCCCCACCCCACTATGTGGTAAGCCCCTGGTCAGCTAGTCTCACTGAGCCCTTCCAGCCTTCCACACCAAGGTACCACATGTGTGAGTGAGGATTCTGGAAATTTCCAGACCAGGTGACATACCAGCTGAGCACCACAAATGACCATAGCCCAGGCCACAAAAAAAAAATGACTCACCCAGTGGGGCTGGTCCAGATCTCAGCCCCATCTGCATCATACGGCACCCACCAGACACCTGGCCAATCTCTACCTCACTCACCACACTCCATCAGAGGCCTCCTCCATTCCCCACCTGGTCCCCACCCCAGAAGGCGAGAACCTTCTCTGCTTGCCTGGTATCCGGTGCTCAACCTAGCTGTGCTACCAATCACGTGGTCTTTCAGTGGCTGGACTCAGCATCTGTCACCCACTCCTACGGGCTGGAACTCCATCCTCCCTCCTCTGCAGAGTCTAAAGAAAACCCATTTCACCCGGTGACACTCCAAAGCTCTAAGCGAGGCAAGCACAGGACTTTGAGCAGTTTCTCGCCTCAGAACCACCAGTACTTTGTCCCAGGTAATTTTTTGTCCTGGGGCCTGTCTTGAGCATCCCCAGACAGCATCCCTGGCCTCTGAACTACAGATGCTGTAGCACTGTGTCCCCAGCTGTGACCACCAGACTCTGCCAAATGTCCTGTTGGGCAGGGGGGAGGTAAAATCACCACAGCTGTGAACCATTCACTTCCTTAGACGTCACCCAGGTGCATTGGTCAGGTGTAGGTGTCACCCAGACCTACACTGGGGTTCTGATGACCGTCTAAAAGGCAGGGTGGGCATTCCAAGCAAAATCCCACCTCGTGTGCATTAGAATAAGCTTCTGGAGAAGGTTCCAGCGACAGGAACTTTAATACCCTAGCTGGTGTTTCTGCGGGCCAGCCAGGCTTGGGGCCTGCAGGTCTTCAAGAGAAGGAGCCCGCAGCCCACTCTCCATGTGGCACACCGCGTCCACCTCAGCGTCTCCCTCCCATCCCGCAGGACCCCGCCACAGCTGCAAGTCTTGGCTGCCTGGGAGGTGGGGAAGGCCGGTGGGAACTCACTGCCTAAACATAGGGCCCTTTCAAAGCAGGTCTTCCAGATGTCACCTGAGACCTGCAGTCTCTGACGCCAGGGAACCTTTCAGAAAGCTCGTCAGCCTCACTGGTGACAAGAAATCAAATTCAGAACCACGCCAGGCTGTCAGAATCCACCTGTGAATGGCCAAGTGCAGAAGCCGGTGGCATGTGGGGGAGGGTGTGGGCTCTCGCGGAACTCGTGGCTGAAGTGGAACATGCAGCAATCTCTTGTGAGGTGTTGCCAGGCCGCCCTTTAAGGTTGAAATACACTGTACCCTCAAACTCTCATAAGTCTCCCAGAAAGCCGGCCCCACCGATGGTCATATGTGCACATAATAATGCAAGGACACCACACCGCGGGTGGCAACATAAATGTACAGTCACTTTGGAATCTTGCAGTTCCTAAAATGACTAAACTAGTTAGTATGTGGCCCAGCATCTTCACTCCTAGGTAAATACCCAAAGACAGAAAACATACATCTACACAAAAACTCGTACACAGCCAGGCGAAGTGGTCCATGCCTATAATGCCAGTGGCTCAGGAAGCTGAGGCAGGAAGATGGCAAAATTCAAATCAGCCTCAGCAACTTAGCAAGGCCCTAAGCAACTCAGAGACACAAAATAGGGCTGGGAGGTAGGGCTCAGTGGTGGAGTACCTCTGAGTTCAATCCTCAGTATCAAAAAAAAAAAAAACTCTTACACAAATGTCCATAGCGGCATTATTCACATTAGCCAAAAGGTGGAAATAACCCAAATGTCCATCAACAGATGAATGGAGAGACCAAGTGTAGAATATCTCTATGATAGATTATTATTTAGCTGTAAAAAGGAATGATTGGCCCATACCACAAAGAGGATAAATCTTGAAAACATTGTACTAAGCCTGTCACAAAAGATCATGATAGAATCCCATTTGTGTGGAAACATCTAGGACAGGGAAATTTAAACAGTAAGTTAGGGCTGAGGTTAGTGGGATGGTTAACAGGCATGGGGTCTCTTAATCTATTTTTTATTGGTGCATTATCATTACACATAACGATGGGATTTATTATTGCATATTTGTATGTGCGTGCACTATAACGATTTGGACAAGGGATCTCTTCTTGGGGAGACGAAATGTACTAAAGCTGACTGTTGTGGTTACTGAATATATTTGTGAATATTCTAAGAGTTCTGCACTGTTCATTTTAAATGGGTGAATTGTATGTAAGATATGGCAATTATCTCAATAAAAATGCTTTTCCTTTCTTTGAAGAACGCAGGGGTAGCTACTGCAGCTAGTAATAAATGCCTAGAAACAGCACAAAATGCCCATCTGTGGGCTGAGCTGTACACTGTGACCATGCTCTGGAATGCTATGAGGCTGGGAAAGAATGAGGCAACCCTGATAAGGAACCACTCCCAAGTGAAAAAATAAATGAAGGTACAGAAATGTTACGTAGTAGTTCGCATTTGTGGAGTTGTTTGTTTGTTTTTTTTTTTTTTAAATCTCTTGTGAATTGAGCTGCTAAGAACATTGATGTGGCTGCATTACTGTAGTATGCTGATTTTAAAGTCCTTTGGGTATAGATCAAGGAGTGGGATAGCTGGGTCAAATGATGGTTCCATTTCAAGTTTTCTAAGGAATCTCCATTCTGCTTTCCAATCGATTGGACCAATTTACAGTCCCACCAGCAATGCATGAGTGTGCCTTTCCCCCCACATCCTCACCAACATTTATTGTTGTCGTATCTTTTTTTCCTGTATTCTTGATAACTGCCATTCTGACTGGCATGAGATGAAATCTTAGAATAGTTTTGATTTCCATTTCTCTAAATACTAGAGATGTTGAACATTTTTTCATATATTTGTTGATTGAATGTATGTATATCTTCTGAGAAGTGTCTGTTCAGCTCCTTCACCCATTTATTGATTGGGTTGTTTGTTTTTGGGGTGTTATGTTTTTTGTGTTCTTTATATATCCTGGAGATTATTGCTCTATCTGACATGCATGTGGCAAAAATTTGCTCCCAAAATGTAGGCTCTCTCTTCACCTCACTGATTATTGCTTTTGCTGAGAAGAAGCTTTTTAGTTTGAGTCCATCCCATTTATTAACCCTTGATTTTATTTCTTGCGCTTTAGGAGTCTTATTAAGGAAGTTGGGGTCCTAGATGCCCTTCAATAGATAAATGGATAAAGAAACTGTGGTATATATGCACAATGGAATATTACCCAGCATTAAAAGAGAATAAAATTATGGCATTTGCAGGTAAATGGATGGAGTTGGAGAATATCATGCTAAGCAAAGTAAGCCAATCCCCAAAAGACAAAAGCCAAATGTTTCCTCTGATAAGTGGATGCTGATCCATAACAGGGAGTGGGGAGGCTTGGGAAAAATGAAGGAACTCTGACTGGGCAAAGGGGAGGGAGGGGTGGGAGGGGGCATGGGGGCAGGAAAAATGGTGGAATGAGATGGACATTATTACCCTAGATACCTGTATGACTGCACATAGGGTGTGAGCTGCATCATGTACAACCAGAGAAAAAGGTATGCTGCAATTGTATACAATGAATCAAAATGCATTCTGCTGCCACATATACTTAATTAAAATAAATTAATTATTTTTTAAAAATCTCCCATTACAAAAGCACAGGATATTTCTGGAAGACAAAAGAAACTGGTAATGAGCTTGCCTCTGGGTCCTGGGGGAGGTAGAAGGGGAAAAGACATTTATAAGTTGACTCCCAACTCCCAAGAGTACAGCTTAACTCTTCAATTAAAAAGCAGTTAATAAAAATAAAAATTAAAGCAATATTCTGCTACTGCAAATGGTTGAAGTGCCCTTACTCTTATTTGTTAGAAACAGTCTTAGAAACTTCAGAAACTGAGCCAATGGCCCAATCTACCAGGGCTGGGAAAGGACAGGGACCTCCACCAGGACCAGAAGGTTATTGGAAAGTGACAGAGGGTTCAATGACATGCTCTCAGCCCCTGGACACAGAAGCAAAGGCCTGGGCTGCAGCAAAGCCCAGCAGGCATCAGCCCCCAGCTGGGAGTCTCAGCAAGCTGGGCTCCACCAGCCCCGACAGCTGCCATCCCCGACACTGGCCGAATGTCATTTCCAAGTAGGCAGCTGGGCCTCTGGGACTTCCCAGGACTTTCCTGGCTCGCTGCCCCACCTGCTCTAGACCTCCCCCCCCTCCCCAAGACCCCTGACAAGTGGCAACACTGGGGTCCGTGTGTTTTGTTCCAAGGGTGCTGGGAATGGAACCCAGACCCTCCCCTGTGCTAGGCGGGAGCTCTACCTCTGACCCCCAGCCCTCGCTTACATCAAAGATGCGAAACCAACATTCAGCCTCCCCAGCTGGTACTCACAGAAGCCCTCGATTTTGTCGGCAGTCTTGCTCCAGGCCACCTGCCGCGTCTCCATGATCACCTGCACCGTCCTCCGCTCAGGAGTGGACTTGCGGAAGCTGAACACGGTCATCACTGTCCCCAGCTCCAGGGCTCTCTTGATCTGACTCTTCTCGTATTCTGGAAGAGCGTCCACGTTGACCATGGTGGGCATCATTGGTCCCTCCGGGGAGGTGGGAGAAGGCAGGAGAAATAGGAGGCTGGAAGAGCAGAATAAAGGGGTGAGTCGCTTTTAATAACTGAGGGGTTGCTTAGGTAACAGGTCATGGAAGTCAGGCCTATCGGGATGCACTTTAAGAAAAGGTTCTGGAGATGGAGAGTCTCTGGCCACCCAAAGAGTCTAGGCAGGCCACAGAGGTTTAAATGAAGTCAGGTATGGGAGGAGCCCCCAATCTCAATGACCCAACTGTCAAGCGGGCTTTGAATAACCAAATCACCCCAGCATGGTGGTGGTGACCCGTTCTCTCCCTGTAGAATTATTTGACTAGCCAAAGCAGCCAAGACTGCACCCACCCCACCGGCCTTTTCTATCCTGCTAGGGAATTTCTAACCATCCCTGGTCTGCCTGCCTCTGCCCTGGCCCGCTGTGGTCACCAGTCCAGTGGTCAGAAGGATCATTTAGAACATGAATCAAATCATGACACTCCTCTGCTCAAATCCTGCAGTAGTTCCCTGAGCCCTCACTCTGCACCTCCCCCACTAACCTGCCCCAAATGTCCAAAGGCACAGTGACTGTCCCCTGAGGTGGCATCTAAGAGTGAGGGGAGCTGGACCACCAGGGCCCACCTTGCTAGCTGGCTGCCACTACAAGAAGTCTCCTAAACCCCCTGGACCTCATTCTCACTCCTGTTTAAAAAAAAAACAAAACACCTAACATTATCTATCTTTTATAAGGATTAAACAAGATGCTATGTCTCAGGCCCTTAAAACAATGACTCTCCTTAGATTTAGCCAATTTGACTATTACCATCAATTGTTCTGTGTGTCCTTATCTCCTCCCTTTTCTCCAAATCCCAGAGTTGTTGTTACTCTGTAACCTCCAAGGTTACAAAGTAGCAATAGAGAGAACTTTCCCAGCCCAGAGACCAGGAAGTGAGCAGCAGAGGTCCACCAGGCGGTATGGCCTTCCAAACTTCTCAGCCTCCAGTTAAATTGCTCAAAATCTGTGGCCCCTCGCTTGTAACCTGGGGCAAACTGCCCTCAAGGAGCAGCTGGTAGAGGAGATGCTAGAGTGTGTGCGCCACTGGCGGCACGTAGCAGGGTCTCAGTTAACATTAATCAGCCCGTTGGTGCATACATTAACCAAACGTCCAACTCCATGCCAACAGGATGCAAATGAGGGGGAATGGGGAGAGGCTAGGCCTTGCCCTTTGCCCCTTCCTCCTTCCACTGCATGCCCTAACCAGAGCCACCTTCAGGGTGTGCTAGCATTGCATAAACTCACTAATTGCACCTGCTCTCTGCCAGGTGAGCACCTGACAACCTTAAGGCAGAGCCAAGTGCAACCACAGAGACACACATGGGCCACAGGGCAGGGAGAAGATCCCCACGTTGGTCTGGGGTGGGGTTAGGAGCTTAGAAGGCTCAGAGAAACCTTCTGGGGGAGCTCTGGATCCCATCTTTAAAAAAAGATGAGCCAGGAGGGAATGAGATTTCAATCAGAAGAACCAACTAAGCAAAGACTGGGGCGGGCCCAGGAGGGACGCCAAGAACTCTGCAGAGCGCTCAAATGCATCTCCTCAGGGAGCCCGAAGTTAACCCCCTGTTCATCAGCCAGGAAAAGGAATGAGCGGGGTGCCCCATGCCCAGCTCACCCTTGGGAAGCACCCGTGACCGGCCCTCCCCAGGTGCCACACCTGTCCATCTCAGCTGTCTCAATGAGAAATGCCTGAGGGGAAAATGAAAGTCCTGAGAGGAAATCACTTGCTCAAGGTCACAGACCAGGGGCGGTGCAAGACCGGGAACCCAGTCTGAGTGCCACGCCCCTCATTCTTCAGCACCTGCCTTCTAAACCTCAGAGTCCCATGGCAGAATCCAGCCAGATATTAACTAAACTGGCAGCCCCTACCCCTTTCAACAGAGGTTAAGGGACTTGTCCAAGGCCACAAGGCTCCCGAGCTCCCCACTGCTAAGTCGCCAGGGCAACTTGGGTCTTTCCAACTCTGACCCTGGGAGAGACTTGGACTTAACCTTCCCCAGAATCCAGTTACTCCTCACTCAGAAGCCCATGGATCAGCTCAGCCATCAACACCAACTCTTTGATGTTGCCTCTCACCAAGTGGAAACAGAGCCTTTCAGCCAAAGATCTTTAGAGTCAACCACCAAAACCAGCCGGTTCTCAGCTCGGGCTTCCAGAGTTCCAAGCTTTAGCACCTAAGGCAAAGTCTCCAAGGCCCTGACCCCAAGGAGGAGCACAAGTCACCAGGCAATCTCCACTTTGTTTCTGCTTTTTTATTTTAAAAAATGAAATAGCCTGGAAATCCTTTTATTTGTTGTTGTTGTTTTGTTTCTCACCCTCGAAGGGGAACTGTGCAGTATGATTTACAGTGTAAATACAAACATGGCTGAGATATACTGAGAGGTCTTGTCAATTTTACATTTCATGTCCTTGGCTTTAAAGTGAACTTGATACACAAGAACCCCAGCCCAAGAAACAGAAGCTTTCTTCTCTTCAAAGCCCTCGCATATTTGGGGCAGTACAGGATTTCATGAAACAATTTCTGTTAAAATCTGGCCCAGCGGAAGCCTGAGCAGTGCCTGCCCTCCCTCCTACAGGCCCCAGCCACTGCTGCAGCGGAGATTTTCATAGAAGGAACTGAGTGTGTGGGCCGCCACAGGCCAAGCGGACCTTGGTTCAACTTTTTCTTTTTTTTTTTTTTTAAGGGCAACCTGTGAGAATCTTTTAAAATATGAAACATGCATGTTCTCTGATCCAGCAAGAACACGTGTGCAAAAAGAGACACGGGGAAGTTCACCGAAGGGTTATTTGTAGTAGAAAAAGAAAAAAACCAGTAAACAATTCCACTGCTCATCAGGAGGTGGGGAGAGGGATCTCTGAATGGAAGATGCACACAAAAGAATTGGGGAGCCACTGAAAGAAGGAGGGAGATCTATAAGCAATTTGATGTGGAAAGATTCATGAACTACTGGACCGGCAAGTTGCGAGCCCCTGACTTAAATTACATTTCCTTAAAAGCTGTCTGTTTACAAACCCAAGAAAGGGGTCACCAGTGGAGGCTAGGAGAAGGGATGACTCCATTTTATGTTCATTAAAGTGGTGACATAAGGATACCCTTTTCTTTTTTTGAGTTTTTAACCATTTTCTAAGCTAAGAAATGTTTCCAAAAATTTTCTCACCAGTAGTTTTCCACTGACTCCACCAAGAGGGTGCAGAGGGGCTATTCATGGGGACCCTGCTTTAGCTCCTCCTCCGCCTGCTGCACCTGGCCTGGTCGGGGAGGCAGCACCAGCATTAGGCAATTTAAGCATCAGTGAGGCTGGTAATGCGAAGCCCTGGCCCACACGAGTTAGCAATCAGGACCACTACTTGGGGCCAACGTGAACGTCCAATTCTGTAAAGCCTCCCTGCAGGTCTAACAATAAGGACGATGGTCCGCACCTATGCAAAGGCCTTTGGCCAGGGGTGGAAACTGCCAGAGTACCCTTCCCATGGAATGGGCTCCAGTTCTCAACCCAGCCCTGAGAAGCGGGCTTGGGGACCTGCAGTATTTAGGGGAGAAACCAAGACTCAGAGGGCTCTTCAAGGTACCCCAGGTCACACAGATGGAAGTGAAATTCAAATTAAGTTCTGACTGACGAGGCCACCTGTTTCCCTTTTGCCGCGTCACTCCCTCGCCCCACCAGCCTCTCACTAAATTCAAAACGAGGTGCCAAAAGGACTGGGCCCTGCCTCCGACGGAGTCCGGGCACCAAAGGCCTTGTGCAAAAGGGACCCATCCCACCCTCGAATTCTTCCGCTACGAGGGCAGTGACCTCTCTGGGGTTCCCAAACGTGAATCGCACAGGCGCGCACACAGGCTCCTGCGCACGATCGTGGGGCGCGGGAGGGACTCCCGAATTCCCTGGAAACTCCGAGCGTCTCTGGGGAAGGGCTACGCCTTCCGCGGAGTCACTCCCGCCCCCCACCACCTGTGTAATACGGGAAGTGCGGTCCCCAGGGTCAGCGAGCTCGGCAGAGGCGATCAGGAGGGACCGCGCCACCCGCGCATGACCCCTCGGCTGCAGGAACCCCGAACGTCGGCGCTGGCGCGACCCTCTATCCAGGGACCGCGCCGCGTGGCCCCGACTCCCATTCAAACCGGGGCTGCCCGGCATCGACCCGCGAGGTGGCGCCGGCCGGGGTGAGGAAGTGGCTGGCGGCTGGGCCGGACCCACGCCGTCACCACCCCGGCCCCGGGCACTGCTGGCCGGGAGCCCCGTCGGCGCGCCCCACCCCTGCCCATGCCGCCGGCGCTCGGGCCAGGTCCCCACCGGACGCTGCCCACCGTGCGCGGGTGCCCCCGGGACGCAGGTCTCCAGGCGCAGGTCCCGGGTGTCCCGCGTGCGCTCCCGCCCTGCAGGGCGCTCACCTGGCCGCGCCGCCGGGGCGCAGCCGCCCGCTCGCCGCGGGTCGGGGCTCCGGGACTCCGGGGTCCCGCGCGCCGTCCGCCGCGGATCCGGCACTCCCTGCAGCGCACCCCGCCGCCGCCGCGCTCCCACTTCTGCTTCGGCTGCGGCCCGCGCCACGTGACTCCGCGGGGCCGTCCCCCTCGCCGCCCCGGTCCGAGGCGGGCCCAGACCCTCCCGCCTCCCCGAGCGCCCCAGCGCAGCGCCCCTGCCTGGAGCCCACCTGGGCCCGCAGAGGGAGAAACTGAGGCAGCGCGGGGGCTACCTGTCTGCCCCTGTCACTTGGCCAGGTGGAGAGAGAATTCCCCACCAATGTAGCACTTATAGGGCTCCTGCTGCACGTGTGGCACGCACTTGGTGAACTCTCCTAATCGCCCTTCCAGAGGCTGCGCTGGAGTGGGAGCACCTGTTACTACCCTAAGGCGGTCACTTAAGTACCGCAGCTTCAGTTTCCCTTTCTGCAAAACGTGATCAAAGTAGTGCCAGTCCCAAAGACGTGTTGTAAGGAACAAAGAACACCAGATATAATTGATGCCCCATTTGCCCAATGAGAATGTAAAAATTCTTCAGGAAAAAACTTGCTTTTTTCCATTTCAAACCCTTCCTACGCACATTTGATGGAAGTATCCTCTGGGTGGCTTTAAGTCACCTTCAGAGCTGCCAGGGCGCTCCAATTGCACTTCTAAGTTGCTTGGGTCACAGCATGTCTGAATCCACGACTGTCCTCTCGTTGTAAATGCTGTATCCGAAGTCACTGGATTTGTGCTGCTCCGGGGACCCTTGGCTTACCTTGTGACTGGGGTGAGAACCAGGGTTAGTTCCCACAGGTCTACTGCTTTCTAGATATCAACCACTTGAGACCATGGAGCCAGTTCCCCAGGAATCATGGCCAAATCTGACTGAAATTCGCCCCTTGTTTTTTATTGGAATTTGAACTTCTTTATTTCAATCAATCCTTTAAACAGCACTTCTGGTTTGGCTCATATTTTGCAATGTGCATAAAGTATTAGCTAAGTCACACCTGTGTAACTCATTAATACAAACCTGCTTATGTATATGAGGAACTGACCTGGAAGAGGCTAATTAATTTCAGTTGGAATTTTCTCCCCTCACTGGGAGCCAAGCAAGAAGAGAACATATGAAACATGCCGCAGTTTTCGTCCTGACTGAAGCCTACAGCATTTTTGGACTTCAGATGCCCACGGTGCATGAGGCGGTGGGTATGGTAACCCCAGTTTGCTTTGCCTTTTTCTTCATATTTTTAATTCTTTTCTTCTTTGCCTCACTTTTTAATGACCCTCTCCCCACCCACACCAAGGTGAACAACTGAAGGAATGCAGAGCAAGGAATGGGAGTGTGTGGGGCTCCTCATCTCTTCCTCAAACTTCCATTTGGTTGTTTAAAATAAAAGTAATTGAAAGGTCAGCCCCAGCTCTGGGAGGTTTCAAACATAAAATTATATTTATTTTCCAAGGGATAATGGAGGGGGGCACTCTGCACATTCAGGCATGTAGGTAGCTGTCCTGGGCCCCAGGTGTTAGGTCAGTGGGTGGTAGAGGCAGGACTTGAACTAGAGTCTGGTGCCAGAGCCCGCAGGCACCTGACCCTTTGCCCAGCCCCAGCATTAATAGGAGGTGCTAGGGCAGGGAGTCATGAGTTTGGAACCACCCCACAAGTTAATGAATGGGTCAGGAAGTGACCTCAAAGGGTGGAGGGAACTTTCTTTTCCTTTTCCTATAAAAAGAAAGGAGGAGGAGGAGGAGGGCAGGGGAAATAACCTGAAAGAAAAGTCCCGTTCATCCACATTAACTCGGCTCCTTTTATTCTGCACCCCTCACCTGCCCTCAGGTACACACATGCTTTCCCCCACCTCCCTCTTCTGTTTGCTGGTGGCCCTGGTACACTGGACCATTAGCCTCTCTGTGCTCCAATTTCTTCTCTTCGAAGTGGGCATCACGGGGCTGGGGTTGTGGCTCAGCGGTAGAGCGCTCGCCTACCATGGGCAAGGCCCTGGGGTCCATCCGCAGCACCACATAAAAACAAATAAATAAATAAATTGTATTCAACTACGACTAAAAATAAATAAATATTTTTTAAAAAAAGAAACAGGTATCACCACAACCCACATCCAAGGGTGAGCATAAGGATTGAGTGAGATGATGGGGTTAAAGGCCCACCACAAACAGCGCTGGCTATTTTTAATATCATTGCTACGAGAAGAAAAAAATCCATATTTTTAATTCTTTTCTTCTTTATTTTCCAAGGGATAATGGGGGGCACTCTGCAGGGGATCTAAGCTCAAGTCCCAGATCTGCCTCTTCCTTAGCTGTGTGACTTTGACCTGCTCCCTGCTCAGTGACCCTCTCTGAAACTCCCAATTTCCCCACCGTAACACCTACCTTTGGAATATGCAGAATTAGCAAATCTATAGAGACATAAATAGATTAGCGGTTGCCAAGGAGTAGGTGGGTATGGAGGGTATTGAGGGGTGATGGAGAAGGTGTACAGGATCTCTCTTTGGCGTAGTGAAAATGTTCTAGAATTGACCACAGTGATGGTTAAACGAAAGCCATTGGAATGTACACTGGAATGGGTTAACTGTGTGGTATGTGAATTATACTATCTTAATGAGAGTGAGGGGATTGGGGCCTAAACCCAGGGTCGCTTTACCACTGAGACACATCCCCGGCCCTTTTTAATTTTTGAGACACATTCTCACTAAGTTGCTTAGAGCCTCACTAAGTTGCTGAGGCTGACCTCAAACTTGTGATCCTCCAGCCTCAGCCTCCCAAGTCACTGGGATGCTAGGTGTGCAGCACCACACCCAGCTGTGAAGTATCTCAATAAAGTCTTTCAAACCCTTCCCTTATAAGTTAAAGACTTGAAAATAATGAATGACCCAGAGTGAGGATGACAATGAGCAACAGTGGCTGGTTGCCATGGTCATTATTTTACTGGGGAATCTTCCCATCCTGGACTCCAGTCTCCACTACGGAAGGCAGTGGCCAGGCTGAGGTCACCATCCCGGCCCAGGGAACCTCACCAACCTTACCCCTTTGGCCTCAGAAACCCCCAAGAGCCCCTGAGCCTGGTTTCCTTTCCTGGCATTGTTCAGAGACGAGCCCCTCCCCTGGGGACAAGGCGAGTCCCAGCAGCCGGCTGGCAGGCTCTGTGAGAGGAAGCACCACCCAGAACCCGGCAGACCTCAGTAGGGTCACGCTGGGCCTGCCTCCAGCCTGCGCATCAGAACAGCCCCCTTGGCTGCTGGAGCCCAGGCCTGCTGCGTGGAAGAGCCTCTGGGTCTTCCACGGAGCTTCTTAAGCCTGGGGTCCTGCTGGTCCCTTTAACCCATTCGGTCCCAAGTTTCCAATTCTGCAAATATTTCAACAAAAAATGTTGCATTAAAAGGTGCATTAAAATGGATTGGGAATCATAATCCAGAGCTTATATATCATAGTGATTAATACTATGTTAAATATAATTATATTATTAGTATATAATTATATACTAGTTTTTATAGGTGTTCCACGTGTGGGATAATGGGACAAAGTCATTTCACTCAGTCAACAAACACTTGCTGAACGCCTGTGAGGAGCCGGGCACTGCTGGGCTCCGGAGGATGTAACAGCTGTCATCAAAGGCCCCCAGCCATGGCATCAGAGACAAACTCCCCTTAACTACCACTTCACTTGATCACTCATTCAATAGATTGGTTCCGTCAGTCCACAGCATTTACTGAGCACCTACTAGAAGTCTGTCGCTCCTCTAGGGTCTGGGGATAAGAGGAAGAAAGATGCATTCTGTCAGGAGGCCACAGACTGGTGGAAGAGGCCAGCGGGAAGCAGCTGACTCCACACCCACTGAAACGGCCAACATGACCGCTGACCGTGCCCAGTGCAGGTGGGATGCCAAGCAGCTGGGGATGTGAGCGGGGGCGGCCTCGTGGGGAAACAGAGGGCAGTTTCTTAAAAAGTTAGACGCACACTTCCCACAGGCCCCAGTCATCTCACCTGTGTTGACCCAAGGGAAATGGAAACATATGTCCATGCGAAATCCGACGGTAATGTTTACAGTAGCTTCATTCATATCACTGAAGAGCGGAGATTCCCACGTCTGCCGGCTCCTGAGTGGATAAACAAACACGCACCAAAGACGCAGCCCTCGGCCGGGAAAGTCACGACCAGCACACCTCGAGGAGCTCGCAGCGTGATGCTAAGGGAAGACCCAGCAGCAAGAGGCTGGGGAGAGCCTGATTCTACTCACGTGGCCTTCAGGAAGGACGACAGTGTAGACAGGGGCCGTGGACGCCAGGGGCTGGGCTGGGGGCCGGGCTGCCGCAGAGGAGCTGGGGGAGAGCTGGGGGGGCAGTTATTAGGTTGTTTAGTTTGTTTGCTTTTTCGTTGTCACTATGGTAGAATCACCCAACTTCATAATTTGCCAAACCTCACAGAAAAGTCCACCCAAGGGGTGAGTCCTGCTGAATGGAAACCGCAGTCTGTAAGAAGGTGGAAAGGGATGACCAGGGGAGGGAGAAGGAACAGTGGTGCAGGCCAGAGAAAGTCAGGAGGGCTTCCTGCAGGTGGGGGTCCTCCAACTGAGACCCCTGAAAGGGCCGAGTGGGTCAGCCACAGGAGGGGGGAGGGGAGGAGGGCGGGAGTCCAGAAAGCAGGAATGGTGACAATGACATGCCCCTGGGAGGGACTCTGGGTGCTGGAGCATGGTGTCTGTGGCAAAGTGACACTGGTGAGCGAAGCATGGCGCAGCTCCCGCAGAGCATGCAAGTCCTACTAAGGGATTGGGGGCAATAGGGAGCAGAGGAGTGGCCTGGACGGGCTCTGCTTTGGGGAAGGCACCCTGTGAGCGGCCGGGGGTGGGGGAGGGAGCCAGGCCTGAAGCAGGAGGGCGCTCAAGGTGCTCTTTCCCAGGGGAAGGTCCCATTCTCAGCTGAGACGTGTCACCTGAGGAACACTGACAGACGCTTGCTGGGTGCCCAGCACTGGTCTAGAAGCCGGGAAACCAAAGGAACAATG